CTTCAGCAAAATAAGTGGGTTTTTACCCTCTGGTTACCCCCCAAAGACCTAAAGGATTATGGGGATGTGAAAGTAGAGAATAGTAAATAGTAACTGGTAATCGATAAGGCATATTTGTAGTCGTACAGTTAGTATCTTACCTTAGCCTTGACTTCGTGTTGTGAATGGATAAATTACTAAAATACAATGGACATTTGAACCAATACGGCACCCATCTTGATTAATGGAATGTCGAATGGGCTACTTGTAGAAAATGTATAAAACATAAAGTGGTGGGGTAACGGTTAGGTTTTCAAACTTTTAAAGTCTTTGTGTTTGGCATATTTTTCCAACTACGTAGCAAATTCAATTGAAACCCTGGCCTGACAGCCCTACAGTCTATAAATTTTCCAATATTTGCACCCTGTCGGTATCCTATTCCTTATTAAAAGAATATAATTCAAGATGGCTTCCGTGGCCTGTTGGTAAAAAGGTTTATTGGGAGTCGGCATTTCACGAATTATATAACGGCTGTTTCGTACTGTGTATACGTGTTGTGTGTCGGTACCGTACGTTTCCTATGGTACCAATATCTCTGTCTGGTTAAGTTATGGATCGAAATTTTATCACTTGCTTATGACAATAGACAGTGGGGGGGGGGGGGGGGGGGGGGAGGAGGACACAGCTGGACTGATGATACTATAATAGCCTTATATCTGGACAGATGATAAAGCATGAAATTGTTAAAGTAGTATCATTTAAAGCTATTTTTATTCTATTCTGTCTACAGTTCTTGAATGTCGAAAAGACAAAGAAGCTGAAACATTCGTCAAAAACGAAAAGCTGACCTACGAAAAGATACGCAGTGCACATTCTTAGGTGCAGTGATCTTCTTTAAATTAGAATATATAAGATACGGTTAAATTTATATAAACGCTGTATAAACTGCTGGTAAAATGGTCCAGTGTTCATATGATGAGGACAGCCTTCCTTCTATGTAATGTAAAATCGAGAAAAGTTTTCATTAATCGTCAGTGTTACAGCATGACAACATTCTCAAGGTAAAAGTTGTCACTGGTTAAAAAATAAATTAAGGTTTAAAAAAATAAAGTAATATGATAAACTGAAACTTTTGTAAAGAAAGAATTCTAATAAAATGTTCAACATTACATGCTTAAAATATTGCTGAATCATGGCCTTAACCCTGTGAGAAACGGGAACCAAAGGTCTAAGCAATTTATTTATTTTCATAGGGCTCCTGTTGATAGCAGTACTTTTGTTACTGAAGGGAATATCCTGAAGAAATAAAGGTTTTCATTCATTCATTCAATTTTGTACCGCTGGACTGCACGCATGCTATTGCTTAAAGTCCGCAAGATAATAAACCATTCTAAAGTTGAGGAAAAGATTAGGGCCGGATTTGAATTTTTTTATCTGTTTTAGGAGATGTATTTCCAAGATGGCGTGTATTTCTTCCCCCTAAAAAAGTCCCACATGTCACTGCAATACTACCAAGATCCATTTTTTCCCCTCAACCTAGAAATGGCTAATAAACCCCCTTGAACTTTGGCGTAATGTTTTCCCATTTTCAGACCACGGACTGACGGAGTCGTTCCCTCGAGAATAAGTTTCTTCGTTTTAGGTTTAAGCTGTATCCATATTTATGTCTTCTCATCAACAACTGTTTAAACAAGAAATGAATACTCTAAGATATGACACGTGATATGAAATGGAAAACATCCAGTCGCACCCGCGAAGAAGAGCTGTCGAGATTGGCCAAAACAAACGATAGTTTTCATTGTCGACTCGTTCTGTTTTGTTCCCATTGTTTCTCGTTCTATAATTTTCATCCAATTGCGTTAGATCTTCTTAGAGTTGCGACGTTGTCTAAAACATCACGTCCAAGTTGAAAGGTTATATAGCTCTCTCGCATCAACTTCTATTGCCCTGACAAAAACATRTAACTTCATCATTTACTGAAGCACATGCAGCCCAAACAAGGTTCATGTGTATGATTTATAAGGGAATGTATGGGAGTTATGATAAAGTTACGAAAATAAAATGGTTCACTCAACAATTTGCCTCCAAACTTGCTGCAGTTGTTGCTTTTACTTTGTTCAGTTTTCTGGCGAAGATTCAGCGCGATTTGAGGCCGTTTAGTGGCTTTTTCAAAATCCGCTCTTCTCTACCTAAATAATTTTTATTCAGTATTTGTTTCACGGGTTTAGCTGGACGGGGCATTAGTATTCCAAGACTGACACTATTTTCAGGTCCCCCAACACATTCCCACAATGCACGTCACTGCAATACCAATTCGACCCACTTTCCCTCAACCTTGGATGGAATGGCTTTGCTCGACGCTAGGGATTGTACACCAATCAACATAAGAGGAAATAAAATTTATTGACTCAAACATTTCTTTGAAAAAATAACAATTTCAGTTATTAAACCACGAAAGAAATGTGTTTCCTTTTGCAATCTTCGATAACTGATTGTTCTATAATTGAACATGTTTATAACCACATAAAAAATGATGAAGGATTTCAATATTTAAAAAATAAATAACGTCTTTTTTGTTTGCTTGCTGTTGATAATTATATTCAAAAGAAGCAGTAAGCAGCAATGGCTTCTATTTTTTCCCTTCTCGCTGATCAAAAAAATTCAAGCCACGATTTTGGAAAGAGTCCACCTCTCATTTTCTTGCCTCCATCTTGAAAGGTAACCGTGCATCAAAGTGAGAACGGCGATGAGCTTCGATGATAGAGACGTGACAATAATTGTCCAAAGAGTATAAAAAGGCCTCTGTCATTGCAAGCTCACCGTTGGTCTCGCTTCGATGCAAAGGCACGGCTACCTTCGAGATGGCGCAGGGAACTGTGAAATAGAGTGATTGTATTTAACCCGCGAAGAAATAGTAGTACGCATAATAGTTACTGTAGTAGTAGACTCTAAACTCATTGTTTTCTTTTGTCTTCCTATCAACTAGTACTAACTAAATAGCGTTTTTTTTCTTCCACGGGTCAAATAAAAACACTCTATAAATCATCTTTCTTCATAGTTTTGATATTTTATACACCTAATTAAAAAAACATATTCGGGTTTGAGAAGGTCATATCATCGAAGCTAAGACCGAAAAGGATTTTGGGTACTCCGAAATGTGTATTATATTTGCATATAGACATGTAAAAATGCACAGTAGAGCAAAGTCGGTCGACCTTGATTAACAACATGCCAAAGCCATGATGCATAAAATGTGCACAGGAAGGGAAAACTGCAGTACGCATGAGATTAGCATAATTGTTTGTCTTCCCATGCTCCCTTTTGGTCTTAGCTTTGATGATATAACCTTTTTTTGAACCCGACAACGTTTTTTCAATTAAGTGTATGGTGCATAACATTATTGTAAGAGTATTTCTACACAGTATCTTGAATATCAGCATCTTCAAACTGTCCAGAATGTTCAATCTCAATAATTTTTGCAGCAGCTATTCTTGGCTTGGGATCAGGAACTTGATGGTGTTTCATATAGACAGAGTCGTATTGTGCACTGTGTGTATAGGCTTGCCTGGCCGGTGGGTAAGAGGATATAACATCTTGTAACTGATCTCTAATAGGAATATGTTGTGGATTGTGTTTCCTCTGCAGTCCATTTGGCGTGTACAGCTTCTCTCTCCAAACCTCCTCAGTTTCTTTGTCCCAGTCTTCAGTCCCTTGTGGATCGTGCGAAGAACCAGATATAGTGATGTCATGATTGTTTATAGTCGGGGATGATTCCGAGGTTTGATCTTGTGGTGCTGCATCTTCAAAAAATAAGCTCCATTGTTCCTGYAATGGCTGGAATGTGACGGTCCTTTCATGGAGGGGGACGGGAGAGGTTTGAAATCTTCTGACATAATCACTGTTTTCTTGTCTGGTTTCAGGTCCTTAGAACAAACATCAAACAGAAGATTATTATTTTAGGTCTAAATATTTATTTCACATTCTCTGAAACATACTCAATATCTTAAAGTGCCTATGAAGTGCCTACCTGCACTGATTTTACATGAAGTAAATAGTCGAATGGTAAAGTATTTTTACATCATTTGAGTACTGATGCATCTTGGAGATGTTAAGGTTTATACTTCCAGTATGCTAATGATTGTGATGTCATGGGAGGCATTTGAGTTTATTATTTGTAAATTGAATCACTGATTACTATGAGAAAACAAACTTCCAATAACCTTTCTATGAACCCTGAGTAAGACAATAATGTTTTATACAGGATATTTTACTGCCCCAAAAAAGGTTTGTATATTTAATAATGCCTGCTTTGACGTCACATCATTAACATATTTGAAGTATAAACCTTGATATCTCTAAGACGCATCACTCAAATAATATGAAAATATTTTAGCATTCAACTTTTCACTTCATGTAGAATAAATGCTGAAAATATTGATTTATGTGTAAGGCACTTTAATCAAATTTTACATTTATCAGCATCTGCTTTATCAATTTATTATTAGCCCTCATTATTAGATTATTAGCCCTCAGCCCAACTACCAACCTGGGGGACCAGAAGCTGTTATATTTTGGAATATAATGCATCATAACAATGACCATCTGAACTATGGTAACTGACAAAAACCAAATTGAATAGATCTGTGGGTTTCATGAACAGCGAAAACTCATGCATAATTCATAACTTAGACTTTACTCATTAGACCATACGTGTCACGAATATGGAATTTACACTTGATAGAGTTTTGTAATGTCACTTTCATGCTCAGTCAGTCCAAAAAGGCACACAAGTTAAATACAGCATGCTAAACCAAAGACAAGGGTGTTGTCAACAAATATTTGTAGGTCATCAGTGGTCATCAAGACTGTCCTTCGTGAGGCCTAAGTCTTCATATGAAATTGAATGCACCTTTGTCTCTGATAATGTCCCCCTCATTAGTGTTCTTATGTGAAGATCTCATCCTTATAAAGTAAGTATTCTATATGTAACAAAATTCTAATGAGGAGGACATTATTGGGCATAAGGTCCATCCGTGTGACCTGTTATGGTAGCTCAAATTGGATCAAAGGTTTGTAGAAGAGAATGCCAAGATCACGGCACATTGCATATGGTATTTATGTAGTGGTGTTTAATGAACAAACAGGATTGTTTTATCTGGTTTAAATACACCTTGCCTCAGTGTAGCCAAGTGGTTTTACACATGATAAAACACAATCTGTGAGTCTATTGAACAGCTTCAAAAACTCATGAATAATTCACAAACCTTTGATCCAATCAAAGGGACCATACAAAAAACATATGAAGAATACTTTATCAAGTATAAAGGTGCAAAAATATGATGTAAGTGGTTGATCCAATTGGATCAAAGGCTTATGCATTATTCATGAGTTTTTTGAACCAGGTATTTTTCATTCAACTTTTTTCTCTGAGATCTCCAGGCCCCCCATCACCATCATGCAAAACCCAGGATACTATACTCCCCTTCGATCCTGAATAAGCCATGCACTGAGTGAGTATGTAGAAATTATTGCTCATTTCTGTTAATATAACCATGGTACCATCATCATCACACTACAGTGTGACAGAATATAGCACAGCAATTAATCTGAACTCAGAGTTTTCCAGTTCAAACAAAACAAAGCCTCAGCTAGTGGTTATTTACCTGTGTGGGATCTCCAGATAGAAAGCCCCCTTCTCATAGCCATTTCCAGAGCTCTTTCATTGAAGTACAACACTTCAGTTGACTCTGAATTATCATTCTCTAAATTGTCTTCCAGCTCTGCCTTTTCAATCAAAGATGATATGCTTTCTTCCTCTTCTTGTTTCGCACCATAAAAGTCCACTTTGTCCACTCTTGATTTGCCTCTCCAGTTATTTTGGAGATCTGGATTTCTTGGTGCATATTGTACCTGTCAACAAGAAATGAGATTTACTGTATATTCTCTTATCAAACTCATTAATAATTCATGATGAAAACACAACAGAAATCACGACCGTGAAGAGTGTTGTAAATCTGATACAAAACTGTGTTCATTTGCATAAACTTTAAGTTGGATTTTCTTGGCCAAATTCACTTTAATTTTGAAAATTTTAGTGAAACACAAAGGAACTAACCTAAACGTTTGATAAGTCATATACAGTGTTCGTGTCCGTGTTGTATCAGATATACAATCACTCGGCTACGCCTCGTGGTTGTATATCTGATACAACACGGCCACTCATACTGTATACATTGTATATTACATATAAGAACTTACTAATAATTTATTTATTATATATAAAATTGAATTGATAAATGATTTAAATTATTAGACTACAGCTTTAGTCTTCACATAGGAATCTTGTCCTGTTGATGATTCCCTATGTTAGGTATTCGTATATAGTTGCAAAGTGCAAAATTAATAAATAAATACAATAAGTTAATTGATTACAGTGAAGAAACTTGGACCATGAACGCTTGACTTTATTCATAATGATATTTTCTGAGCTTTTTTTTAACTGCTTCAAACCCTCTAAGGCCTAGGGCAAATGTCGAACTTGCCATGCACCGAACTTAATTACATCAAAGAATGCCGCCTTATTATCACCTGATATCCATTGTTTTTAATGAGTTTGGTGCATGGAAAGGTCGACGTTTGCCCTAGGCCTAAAAAAGTAGGATTGAACTCAAATATGCTGTGTTATCAAAAAACAACTTATTTCTAAATGATTCACTCAAGGGATGCATGTTAAAAAAAGTAGTAAAAAAGCACAGAGTGTTCATGGTTAGAGTGTCCTCACTGTAATAATCATAATAAGATTATGTGTGGGACTAAGTCATTTTCGTATATGAGCTATACAGTACATGTGTAAGTTTCAACAAAAGGCTAATCATTTTGAAAAATGGTTGCCCCTGGTTACTAAAAATAGATACCACAAGGACTTGTGGAATGGAAATGCAATTATTGCAAATATAGGCTTTGATTACAAGGGAAGAAATAATAATATCAGTTGAAAAAACATAGTTCTTCCACGACATGAAAACAACAAGATTACAAATAAACATTTTAGCAGCATGTTAGCATGTCCGCCTAGCTTGGCTTGTCCGCATTTCAATCCCAATGATGCACGATTGTGACGTAATCAGTGGAAAGCACAATTCCACACAATTCCAGATATTCTGAAAACTCCTGTACATAAACCCTGGGAATATCTTGTAAAAAGGGCTTTTTTGATGGACTTTATAACAGGAGACTCATATTGGGAAAGCTGGCTTTATATAAACTGACGAAAAAAAGAGTTACCTATTCCTTATTAGGTGTTATCAGAATTTAAAACACTCAATAATATTTCATAAGCTTATGGTCCAATTGGAGCCACCATACACGTCACATGCATGAACCTTTATACCTGATAAAGTCCTCTTCATTAGTATTCAAGTGATTTTATATAAAGACACATGTGATCTTTATATAAAGGCAACTCAAATACTATGAGGATCAGGGATAAAGTATGCATCCAAGTTTAGATGAAGACATAGAGCTTCATCAAGGTCATAGTCAACCCTAATGATCTTTGACTAACGTGCCTGTCTTTGCCTTGGCACGCCATATCCAACGTGTGGGAGCTTCTATTGAATCTGGTTGCGCATGCCCSTGACGTCAAATCTCTATCGAAGTATAAAAATACATGTTCGTGACGTGTATGGTGGCTCCAGTTGAACCAAAATCTTATAAATTGTTCATGAGTGTTTTAAGCAGTTCAAAAAACTCGTAGATCGTGTTTTATCAGGTATAAAAGCACTCTTACTCGTTTTTTAAACACTACATAATGAACAGTCAAGATGACAGGAAAGGGAGAAAGGAATCATTAATAACTGGAAATATTTTTGCTTTGGCAGACTAGAGGGTTTTTATAACTAGAAGGGCTTACATATGGAATTGTATGTTTTGCAACTATTTGCATTATAATAATGTTATTATTGAACTCACCTTTGTTGTAAGTTTTGGGACTTTATCATCTTTAATTCTGAGCTTATTTTCATCCAGATCCAGTCTTTGAAGATTCTTCAGTTTCAACAGGACTTTAGGGATCTTTTCCATTTTGTTAGAAAACAAATCCAGCGTTTCTAGTTTTTCCAGCTTTTCAAATGAATCAGGAAGTTCTGTAAGACTATTAGAATCTAGTCTCAACTCCACCAGGCTTGTCAATTCTCCAAAATTATCTGGCAATGCCGTAAGTTTATTTTTGGAAAACTGGAAAAACCAGAGCTTCTTAAGCAAACAGAAGGAATCTGGTAGCTGGTTGATACGATTTTGTGAAACATCAAGCCACTCAAGATTGACTAGGTCTCCAAAGCTCTCTGGAAGACAAACTAACTGGTTTTCATCAAGGTGTAACTTAGCAAGGAAAGTCACTTGGCTGAAGGTGTCTGGTAACTCTTTTAACCAATTACCATTTTGAAATGCTCTGCGTTCAAGTTCACAGATCGTACTACCAAGATGGAAGGTTGCAAGATTTTTCAGTTCACCCATGTTGTTAGGTAACTCAGTCATCTTATTCCCAGATAAGTCAAGAGACAACAGAGTTTTTCCAGATGCTGAACAAAATTCAGGAGGTAAAGCCATGTCAATCAATTCATTGTCAGACAAATTCAGTTCTATAATGCTGTATAACTTTTCAAACCATGGAGGAAGTATCTTAATCAAATTGTTGACAACATAAAAATATTGCAAAATCTCAGCTGACTTAAATTCATTTGGTAAAAACTTGATACGGTTTTCAGAAATGTCAACACTGTACAAACATGAAAGTTGACTGAATGAATCTGGTAAATCTTCAATATGGTTTTGGTTTAAGTTCAGGACCTGAAGATTGGTCAAATCTCCAATCAGCTGAGGTAGTATTGTTAGTTTGTTGTCATTCATCTCAAGTACTCTTAAACTTTGTAGGCATGCAAAAGACTCTGGTAAACAATGCAAGTCGTTTTCGCCCATTCTTAATTCTGTGAGCCTTTTAAGGCCTTTCCCATATGCCTCGCTCCATCTTTCCAGCTGATTCCCGACAACATTTAAAATTTGTAGGCTGTGGAGTTCCCCAAGGGTCTCAGGCAGGGCCTTCAAGCAGTTTTCATTCATGTGGAGTTGTTTAAGACACTTTAGATCTCCAACAGCGTTGGGCAAACTAACCAATTGATTTCCAGTAAGGTAAAGTTCTTCCAGTGTCGACAGCAACCCTATGGCTTCAGGTAGGGTATATATATCATTGTATTCAAGCTTCAAAACAGAGATTTTGACAGAAGATTCTTGCAGTTCCGTGAACCATTTGACTGGTATCACGTCAAGGTCGAGAGAATCCAAACACAGGCAATCTCCATGGGTTTTAACCAACTCTTCCAGCTTTTCATTAAATGATTTTTCACTATCCATCACCTGACAGAAATATCGTTCTGTTGAAATTATAAATCCTCTGAAAGAACTGGAAAATATAYACTGTAATAAATTTGTAAATCACGGGCAAAGTTTGACGCACRTGTCCCTTAAAACACGAAGAGGCAGCAGTAGTTGTGCATCGCGGTCTCACTCACAGGAAGCCCACGCCACAGGCAGCCCAAGCAGTGTTATTGAGGCCTGAATGAGTATTTTTTTTAAATACTTCGAAATGTAAACATTTTTGTCAATAAACTTATCCTGATGTAAAATTACCAATATATGAAGGTTTTGTTGCCTTCCGATGTCATTTAAACGTTTTTTCATCATTGAAAATACCTCAAAATGATCTCAGAGGGCGACAAACATTCGTATATCGGTATTTATATCGGTGTACATTGTATGAGAAACATATATGTGTGTGATTGAAGGTGCCAAAGCGTGGGCTAGCGTACCGAAATGTTCGTTTATAAAAGCGAGAATGTATGAACCCAACAAATAAAACAGCCTTTTCCGTGCTTTCTTCAGTAACAGAGTTCAGTAATAAAGCACACAGGAAGTGACGTAAGCATGAAAGAAGGGTAGGGAGACTTCTTGAGAGATTTCGGGACTTCCTGAGTGCTTTATTACCGGACAGGAGCTCGCGGGAAAAAGCTGTTTTATTCTTTTAATTATATAATAGCCACTAATCGTATTTCGTTATTGAATTTATTTTACCCAGAAAGAAAGACGGTCGCATGCAGGACCTGTCAGCAATATTGTCCTAATTCACTATGACGTCACATCAAAACAATCCTCAACAATCTATTGTTTAAACGCAAAGGATCATGGTCGTCGGAGGGGGTCAAATCAACACAAATTCACCGAAAATTGTTCTAAAACCCGTATCAATCCACGAAGAGAAGTAGAATAGCCAGTAAACGCTCAGAATATTTTTAGTACATATTAACACATATTATATCTGAAAACCATGCCATCTTAGATATACAATGGATATATATGTTTTGTGGACGCGGGGTTTTCGTGTTTCTGTGTATATATTATACTTTATTTTCTCTTTTCTTATATTTATACTCTTAGGTTCTTAATCGCAGATTTTAGTATAGATTTTATTTAGATTTTTATAGATTTTATATTGCTGATCACCGGTTCATACCAGCTGTTCTATCGTGTCCAGCTGATCGGTTTTTTAAATCAGGGTAAATAAAGATATTATTATTATTATTATTATTATTATTATTATTATTATTACTATTCTTCGCGAACTAATGTAGTTAGCGTGTTTTCGATGCTACGAAACCTAAGAAACCATAAGAGGCGAATGTATAGGCCAACAGATAGTATGAGCTGCAGTAAAATCAGCAAAAATACGGTTCTAAATTTTAACAAATTCCTATGAATTATATACCAAAATGTTCAGGAAAGCCCGGGGTTTTCAAATCCACTTCTGTTTTTTGACAGGTTCTGTTTTATTTCAAGGAGAGACGATTTTCTAGCTTGACCCCGGTTATGTCATGCATTTTCTCTTGTAAAGTACATCTAATAGCGTACATTCAACTCAAAAAGTACAGTGGTTTTTTTCAATAGAATTCCATCTAAACCATATAATACAGTCCGTAAATAGTTGAATTAACTGAATCCACTTCTGTTTTTTTGCCTAGATAGTCATTATTTTGAGAAAAAATCCAAAAACCGTGTTTTTGAGACATAATTTGTATGGGCTCACATGAGGGGCGTGAGCTTGAAATCGTAGCTGACCAAATATTAACAGATTTTTTCTGATGTTAGCTCTTATTATTCATTAATGAAGATCTAAATTTTTAATTCTTATCGTATACGTTTTTTTTCTATTCCATTCCATTCCATTCCATTCTATTCTATCAAAGTTGTTAAAGTTTCGTACGCATGCTAATAAACTTGTATATGTTGTGATATGTCGTTTAATTCATGTCAAATAAACCTTGATTACAGAGTCATGTACTCTGGGTTAGACTCATTTCGTGTCCAAATGTTCATAAACACCAATGGTAAAGTAAAGAAAGCACTACAACGATAAAAACACTTTGCAATTCTGCAGACATTCACTGGAACATTAATATTCTACACAAAATCGAACGCTGTCTAACAAAGTCTATCTCTAAGCATCATGTTTATTAAAAGGAACAGAATTTCATAATTTCGGCGCTGCATTGTTATTGAAACTTTGAGCATACTGCTGTTATTTGTTTTCGTTATTTGTTTGTTTTATTTGTGACCAGCTGTATGCATACTTGAAAACAACGAGCAGTTAACTAACTGCCAATCGGGATTCCGGCAATCACTTCATAGCACAATGACAGCTCTACTTCGAGCTGCAAATGATTGGTCAATTAATATTGACAAAGATAACATAAACGGTGGCCTTTGAAACAATTAATCACGAAAATACAAAACCATGGAATTGACCGAAATGCCAAGTTAATGGAAAGCTTTTCGTGTCTGTTCAAAATCAGAGTCTTTGATGATGCTTACCCCATAATTTTTCTTCTTTAGGTATCGTTCAAAACTAGCTATAAAATCCCGTAGAGAGCTTGGTTCGTAGTTTTCATTGGCTGGTTCTTTCTTACGGACACCGAGGATGAATTTACCCCTTTGCACAGTTATTTTAGTACTACTCTTTTAAATCTTATGATAGAAATATTCCTTGTTACCTTTTCTATACATTTACAATATATTCACATACAGTTGACCCTCTCGTAAGCGACCACCCCGGGACCAGGAGAAAGTGGTCGCTTACGAGAGAGTTAACACAGGAAGCCCAAACAATGGGAATCCCAACACAGGAAGCCTAAACCATTTATAATTTGTAACTCACGTGTAAACAACTGTATCAACGATTAAACTGTTTTAATCAAAACTCTGAATGTGCTATATGTTAACAGTACTGTAATTGTCAATATGAGGTAAATTACTGTATTTCTAATGATCTCTTACTACAATAACAATAGAAATCTTTTAACACACATGGTACTGTATTATGTGCTGTTAATATGCGGGAGAGGAAAAACAATGAAAAATTCCAAAATTTTAACCCCAAAGGTGGTCGCGGTCGTTTATGAAAGAGTTTTTCTTACAGAGTTTATATAGGAAACAAAACGGGAAATTCAAAAGGTGGTCGCATAAGGGAGATGGTCGCTTACGAGAGTGGTCGTTCAAAGAGAGTCGACTGCATTAACTTTAGTTTAAGCTATATTTAATTCCAAGATTTTCACTCGTATTACTCGTTATTGAGATAACACACTTAGGAATTTACTTATTCTTTTAGCTAATCAATCAAAGACTGACACCTGTCATAGAGTTATTGTAAATAGAGCTCAAGTAATTAGTTGAACTTACAGAGAACGCACAGAGAACACAGAAAGTAGAATAAAGATCCTGGGGCTCGTACCGAGAGCGGTCATCCCATAACACTTATTTATTATATGACCGTGAATCTTAGAGCCTGGACACTAGCAAATCGAGCAATCTGATTGGATAGATCGCATCGCGGACCGATCTAGATTCTCCGGTATTAACCGGTCCGATCGCATATTAATCTTACGGCGAAAACATTTTGTCCTTTTCAATGAAAAGTGGTCATATATTAAAACTCTTATCAACCGAGCTTGGTCGCTGCGCTCGGTCTGTACATTCCGACCTCCGTCAAGATTATCCCGTACAGACCTCCCGCTCGGTTAATAAGATCTAAATAATAAATAGCCTTAATCTCTCCGCACATGGATTATCAAGCTGGCAAGTAGTAAAAGCGTGAACCAGGATTTGGTACTTTGTCACTAAAATTACATTACTAGAAAACTAGAAAAGTTACTATTTCAACCCATCATTCCGGCGTCGCAACCGCTAGATGGTGGGAATGTCGGTGCACGTCCAGTCACGTGATTAGGTTCTTTACTTCTCACGTGACCTTGGTCCTCAGTGTAACTTGTCTCCCCTTGTCCAGTCTCCGGTATTGACACTTTGACAATTCTTTCAAAGCAACCTAAAATACAATTGTGAACAAAGTCTTTTAAAATAATCAAATATTGAAATCTAAGGTTGTAAGTTGGCATTTCGAACGAGAATGAGATGTCTGATGATAGAAATGGAAATGGAAATGGAAATAACATAATAATAATAATAATAATAATAATAATAATGATAATAATAACTTTATATATTATTTATATAGCGCATTATATACAATATTCTAAATCGCTTCACATTAATAACATACATGAAACAAATATATATAGAAAATAAAAATAAAATGAAAAAAAAATTTACAATAATCTTGTGTAAAATGTTCCGTAATTTCCATCTAAAACTTGTGGAAAATAACTTTAAAATAAATAATGTTAAATAAATAATGCGCAAAACAAAAGGATGCGAAAATTGACTAACTAAATGGATGCTGTAGAAATGCTAAATGTTCAAAAAAGATAGGTTTTCAACTTTTTTTTTTTGTTGAATGTTTTTATATTAAAACAAACCTTTATGAACGCGTTCTTGAGTAGTAGAACGGCGACGGCGGTTCCTTCTGCACAAGCAAAATATAGCTAGACCCAACAAGAACACTACCATTAGGGCCATCGAAACAGGGATAAGTATGGCGCTGAAGTTAAATCCTTCTTTGCGTTCCTGATATTCCACGACGATGTTAGTTGGGACTAACGTTGCTTGCTTGGTGGGAGTAGTTGTCAAAGTTATCGTCCCAGGGGGAGCTGTGTCTTCAGTTGACATTGAAACTGTGGGTGGCACTCGACTCACACGAGGTGTAGTCCTGGTGATGACTGCAAAAAAGGATACCAAATTAGGGATTAGCCAGACTCTAGGCTAGCTTCATAATAATGAGAATAAAATTGAAATATATTTAATGAAAGATAGCCAATTTTTCGATATTCTCGTAGAGTTATTAAGCACAAAACAATCCGAGTCAAGGATTTGGGGGAAAAAGAACAATTGCGGAATTGGATTGTTTTGTGCTTGATCCCTCAACGAGACTATCTAAAGCATTGGAAAAAATTGCCCATACATTTGGAATATTTGCTCTTTTCGGTCTTTTTCCTCTCTTTCCAAAGCAAAATGTTGTCCTTAAAAGCAAAGTTATATAGCACTAGTAAACTGCGTGACACAACATCCTAAATGACCCGTAAATCTTCCGTTCTTTCGCTAACTAGTAGTTAGCGAGTTTTCGAGGCTACGAAACCTAAGAAACCATGAGAGGTGAATGTATAGGCCAACAGATAGTATGAGCTTATAAAATCAGCAAAAATACGGTTCTAAATTTTAACAAATTCCTATGAATTATATACCAAAATGTTCAGGAAAGCCCGGGGTTTTCAAATCCACTTCTGGTTGTTGTTGTTTTTTTTTTTGTTTTTTTTTTGAAAGGTTCTGTTTTATATCAATGAGAGACGATTTTCTAGCTTGACCTCGGTTATGTCATGCATTTTCTCTTGTAAAATACGTCCAATAGCGTACATTCAACCCAAAAAGTACGGTGGTTTTTTTCAATAGAATTCAATCTAAACCATATAATACAGTCCGTGAATAGTTGAATTAACTGAATCCACTTCTGTTTTTTGCCTAGATAGTCATTATTTTGAAAAATGATCCCAAAAACCGTGTTTTTGAGACATAATTTGTATGGGCTCACATGAGGGGGCGTGTGCTTCAAATCGTAGCTGACCAAATGCTAACAGATTTTTTCTGATGTGGCTATTCGGAATCCTAGTTAACCACAATGCACCGCGCCCCGAAAAAATGGAACTAACGCAGCAATTTCTCTGCCAAGCACTGAAAATGACGGTATTGTAGATAAAGTTTGGGAATCCATCGGTCCATCGGTTCCATCGGTCTTTTTATTCCTGATCCTTAATGTTTTTCGCGAGATATTATGAATTTTTATTTTATGAATTTTGGCAATGAATCTACGTTAGGCTTCGAAAATTGCGCAGACTACCAGTTAGACGACCGAACGGAAACTTCGTTCTCACCATTTTGGTATGTATTTTAATGGAATTGCTTGAAAAAAGTCAATTTCACTTTTGCACTGAAGTTGTTTAGTGGATTGGAGAGTTCAATATATGTCGTATTTAAACAATAGAAACTTTTGGAAATTCACGGTGGATTTTCTCTTCACACGTGATCGGAATCAAATTTGTCCATTCGGCTTGATAAAATATAATCTTTTCAGAGTATTTTGGTATATACAGTCAATTCAAAAAATGTTGTCGTCGACCAACTCAAGCCTACGCGACTGAACCGAAAGGAACTCTGGGTAGCAATCATTGAAGCCGAGTTGACTCCATAATTTTATCTGACTAGTTATGCCTGGTTTACAGCACGAACCTTCGTAGGCGAGCGGGAAGTGTCGAAGGAGACGTTTTTTAATGCCTTCATATTTTTGGAATTGTGAACTGAATCATAACAAATTTGTTTTTCTTTCCCTAAACCCGAAGAATGCATTTGATGGATGTTTCTCGCCATTATTATCTTATTACTAGCGGGAACAATTAATTCAGAACGAATATTTAACTGCGTCAGTGATTTTTACCCATATTCCTTTCGGTCCAGTCACGTAGGCTTGAACCGGTCGACGACAACGTTTTTTGAATTGACTGTATTTCACGTTTATGACTTAGGTTAATTAATAAATGAAGTCCATGTCACTTTAGCTCTGTTCAACCTTTTCTTTGTCCTCATCAACTAATCTGTGATTTTCATTGAATCCAACCACACATCATAGTTGTGTTAGTTTATAATTAGAGCTCATTAAAGTTTATGGTCTAAAAATTAATATACCGCAAAAATGTTTCATTCCTCTTAACATCCTTTTAATACGTCACTAGGAAATCCGGTGGAAAAAATTTAGCGCTGGCTCAGCATTTTTAAAGAATACGACATTTGTAGAGATAAGCCTTTGATATTAAATTTCCCTTACAAAGGAAATCCTTGACTAAGCACTTTATTTAAGCACGTGAAGACCTTGCGGTGTCTACGAAATCTTTCTGATACTTGTTTAAAGAACGGACAACTATGAAAAAAAAATCTCTATATTGATATTGCTAAACTTTATAAGATAATGGAACACCTTTTTTGACAAAACCTTTTTTGATAACATTTTAATTATTTTTTTCAGAGTTGATCGACCGAATTCAACGTACTGACCGGCGCTAAAAAAAGATACGATCATATTACCGGAAATGATGTTATAACTAAACAATTTGCCATGCAGCACTTTTCAAACCATTTACTTTTCGGAGAACAAATATAATATATAATTACAGGGATTGAAAACAACATTTTGCCAATATTTTGAATCAATGTATTGCCTTATATGCCAAGTCTTCCTATACTGTAAGTGATAGTAAGACTTGGCAAAGGATGCCTTAAATTATTATTTTAAATTACTATTTTGGGTCCAACCAGAACAGCAAATGCTATACAAAATCTTCCACATAACATCTAGGCCAATGAATAACAGACATACCTGCCTTATAACACTTGCAAACCGATACACACTTGGTCCAAAACATGCTCCCTTCTCTGGCGAAACAGACTGAGCAATTGTGACGAGTCATAGCTACGTCATCAAAAAACTCTCGTTCTGCAGCCTTACATTTCACTTGTGGACTCGGAGAACCATTTAGAACAGTAAATAGTTCTGAACTGATAACGGACATAACAATTAATAATAATTTTGGCTTTAAGTGGTCCATTCTCGAATCGTAAAGTTATTCTTAATGACCTTATTCCCATGTCACTCCTATTTAAGCGGGCCGACCATGAGTCCTCATTACCAGGATCAGGTGGCACGTGACTTAATCGACCAATCACATTCACAATCATAGGCGACAAAAAATATCACAAGAATTTCATAGTCGTCGTTACTTAAGAATCATTACTTCTCCCTCATATTACTTATCATGAACTCATATATTTTTACTGAAGGTTGAAAAATCATCTTTATCGCTTGTTATCTGGTTTTACGATAGCTAACACGTCTGTATTTATAAATATTCGGAAGCTTAAATATCGAGGTGAACCCCGGTGAACCTCTTACCGTTTCCACCTATCAAGCATATTTTGTCAAGATCCGGGGATTACCCGCGTAACGCTACTATCCTCATTCACATGAAAACAGCACCACTCAATCGTTTCCGATAAGACACGAAATCGTATTTTATTATTTTTATTGAATTGGATAATTTATCGGCAGATTAATGAGAATTGTCATATCGAGACTCGTTATGGACTAACAATTCAGCTCGTTCACAACCTCAAAATTTTGAGAAACATTGGAGGAATTGTCTCTCTTTCTGGAAACCCGGAGCACTACAATTTCTAATGTCCAACCAAGGCATTTCAGCGTGTGGATCAGACCCCTAGTCAGTCAGTGGCGGTAAAGCAGTCTGTCTGATAGTCAATATCAAAGTCCCAAATAATCAAAACTTTCCTGAGCCAGTGAGAATATAAAATATATGGAAACAAATACTTTCATGTTCACGGTATATAACTATTATAGAAAAACTATACTGAAAATTTACAATGCAGTTTATCATAAGTTTGTCATAACCTACAAAACAGTTGCGAAATCCATCAACATTCCACTTTAGACTTCAATTTTGACCCCAAACGACAAGAAGGAACTCGGTAAAGCGCGGAAACGGAAAGTGCGGAAAATGCTCTTTCATACATGCGAATAGAGTAATTCAACTTGCTGTTGCAGCTATATTAAATTCAAATGGCTACATGGCTACGAAGGCAGTTAATTAAGGTGGCTGGACCCCCTCACGCTTGACCGCTACCTTCCACTTTTGGAACGCTGGAACGCAATGACTTTTGTCCCGTATATAGCCCTGAAATATTAAGTTCGGCCGTATGAAATCCATTGTTAAGTAGATTATGCACTGTATTTAAATAATCTCAAATATCTCATAATTAGCTAGATAGATTTTTTCGAAAATCCCTACAAATGGAGGCATCTAGTATATAATTATGTGGTACGAAGCATTTTAGTGTTGAACGCTCTGCAAGGCTAAAATTATTTTCTAAACGAAAGCAAATGTTTCATCATAATCACGTGTTATGACGTCCGATCTCATAAAAAACTGCATCAAACATTAATTCAATCTTTATGTGACTTATGTGCAAAAAA